CTCTTCCACACCCTCAGCAAGCACGTTAGCGCTGACTGGATATAAGATCACTGGAACGTTGTCGTTCTGATCCAGAATAAACACGTTCACTGTCACGTTACTGCTCAGAGATGGAGTTCCAGAGTCTGTAGCAACAACATGGAACTGGAACGTTTTAACAGTTTCAAAGTCAAAGCTCTTTAGCATGTGAATAACACCAGTCTCAGAATTTATATTCATGGCAGATGCCATATCGTTCTGTGTCCGACCACCTCTGATGATATGATAAGTTATGGCAGCATTTTCATTAATATCTCTGTCTGATGCACTGACAGAAAATATAGAAGCGCCTAGAGGGTTATTTTCAGTTAAATAAAGCTCTAGAGGATTTGACGAAAATTCTGGGATATTATCATTTACATCTGACACCTGTACAAATATAGTTTTATACACTGCCAGAGAAGGATTACCTAAATCTGTTGCTGTTATTTTGATATTGTATTCAGACACTAACTCTCGGTCTAAGCGTTCTTTTGTTACAAGGGAATACATGTTATCTTGAACAGACGGTTTTAACTCAAATGGCACACTGTCAGAAAGGCAACACACAACTTTTCCATTGATCCCAGAATCTTTATCACTTACACTTATGAGAGAAATAACAGTTCCAATTTTTGCGTCCTCCGAAACTACATTTGAAAGAGATGTTACTTGTATTTCTGGTTTATTGTCATTTACATCTTCAACTTTAATGATGAGCTGACAATCCGTGTTAGTAAGGAGGAATCCCTTTGTCTGATGTCCTTATTATCAAACTGTAGATTTCATTTTCTTCAAAGTCAATTAAGCCTCTAACTCGTATTTCACCAGTCGTCCGATCTAATTGAAATATTTCACGTATTTTTGGTTTCATGTGTCTACTGTATGTATATTCTACTTCACCATTTAGACCACTATCCGCATCACTTGCATTTATAAATATCACTACAGTGTCAATAATTGCATTTTCACGCAGTGTTATCGTTAAGGTATCGCTATTGCATATGGGTCGGTTATCATTTACATCCAGAACAAAGACAGTGATATTAAGAGTGCCCGATTTTGGTGGATTTCCGCCATCTACTTCAGTTAGTAGCAACCTGTGTATTTCAGTGATTTCCCTGTCTAATGGTTTCTGTAATATTAAGAAAGGTGTTTTATCTCCGTATACACTATCTTTAATTTCCAAATCAAAATGCGCATTCTTACTCAGCTGGTAATGTCGAACTGAATTAACTCCCACATCCAGATCTCGAGCAGTTTGAAGTTCAAATCGTGTTCCAGTAACAGTGTTTTCCCAAATCTCTAGATAGAAGTCTTTATCGTGGAAAGAAGGAGAGTGATCATTTACATCTGTGATTTCAACCTCCACATAATGGACCTCGAGGGGTTTTTCGACAACTATTTTCAAATTAATCAAGCAGGCGCTATTTCCATCACACACCTCATCTCTATCAATGTGCTTATCCACATACAAGATGCCATTGTTCTGATTTACCTGGAAAAGAGCATCATTAGATCCAGACACAATACGAAACCGTCTGTCCGCCAATGTATTGACATCAAGACCCAAATCATTAGCACAATTTCCGACGACAGATCCCACTTTCACCTCTTCTGGAACAGAATATCTAATCTGACCTGAAACCTGCTGTCCAAAGCACACAAGCAAAAAGAAACACAGAAAAATCCACCAGCGCTCCCATCCGCGCCTTTGTCCTCTGGCTTCCATTGCGACCGTTCACCGCAACGTTATTCCAAAGATCAGTATATTCTGGATGATTAGATGCCACAATATAATGTTAGATACATCATGCGAAACAAAATGAATTCACTGTTAATACAGTTAGCACAGCCTGTTACCATTATACTGTTCATCAGCTCGCAAATGTTTCCTCACAAATGTGAGGAACAATACAGCCCGTTTCGCATCATCATCAAGGGCTGGACTTAATCTCCTATACCAATACTGGTGTAACAGTGACATCGGGTGGTCTACAGGAAGACAAATCCTCAAATTTAATTAAGCACAATGTATAAAACCACGTAAAATAATTGCATTCAGTGTCCCACTTACCTACGTGCTACATAATTTCATAAAGTGCATAGATATCACCCCCAAAAAAACTCGTGCAGACGTGTGTGACAGCACAATAAAGCCACTTTTAATTCACTAGAAATCCAGTCGACTCTTAAGAAAACCGCAACTAATTTCAGCACCAGCGCAGCGGACAGCTCCCTCTACGCTGTCGCTACTTGGAACAACAGCAAACATTTAGACATCTGGTAAAGCATGCACATTGCACTTTTTTGCAAAGCAAAACAATTGTCAGAAATTCTTAACTTGCAGTTAGCTCATAAATTTTATGAGAAACATAGTTTGTCGTATGTCTGTGAAGCTGTACGAGTTAGTAATTGCATACAAAGAAAAAAATCGTCATTCTTACCTCTCCAGAATCTCTCCTCCTGCGGTCTGGGATCACTAGAGTATTTCCATTACTGCCCGGGACTATAGTAGAGCCGGTACTCATTCTGGGTCCAACTAACATGTACCGTTTGTCTCCAGATCTGTACTGGATGCTGTGACACATAGTCCCGTCGTAATTTGTATCCTGTAAATACTTGGACGAATAGTCTGTCGATTTAGAGCACTGCATTACAATCAACACGATGATGCTGATGACAAAAAGCACTGAAACCGAGCCCAAAGTGATGATCAAATAAAATGTCACATTGTTTTCCTCCTCGTCTTTTACTGTGTTTTTCACATCAGAAGCTGCAAAAGCCTCTTTGGGCTCCACAACTTTGACAATCACAGTCGCTGTTGCTGAGAGTGAAACGTTCCCATTGTCTTTGACCAGTATGAGCAGTTTATGCTGGGCCTCGTCTGTTTCTGTGAATGAGCGAAGGGTCCTTATCTGTCCTGTATAGCGGTCCAAACCAAAGAGACTGTGGTCACTAACTTCCTGCAGTGAAAATAATAACCAGCCGTTGTATCCTATATCTGCGTCATAGGCTCTGACTTTAGTCACCAAATGACCTGCGTTCACATTACGGGGAATCTCTTCCACACCCTCAGCAGAACCGTTAGCGCTGACTGGATATAAGATCACTGGAACGTTGTCGTTCTGATCCAGAATAAACACGTTCACTGTCACATTACTGCTAAGTGGTGGAGTCCCCGAATCCTTTGCAACAACTTGGAACTGAAACTTTCTAATTACTTCAAAATCAAAGCGGTTTAAGGCGTAAACAACTCCCGTTTCAGAGTTAATGTTCAGGAAAGAGGCCATATCCTTTTGTGCAGCGCCCCCTCTAATAATATTATAAGTAATCATTGCATTTTCATTTAAATCTTTATCGAATGCGTTCACAGACATTACGGAGGCACCAGGTGCGTTATTTTCTACTAAGTACAATTCAAGCGGATCTTGAGAAAATTCAGGACTGTTATCGTTAACATCTGATACCTGAACGCTCAGAGATTTAAAAGAAGATAACGGAGGTTTTCCTAAATCAGTGACTGTTATTGTTATGTCATAATGGGACAGAAGTTCTCGATCTAATTTTCCTTTAGTTACAAGGGAATAAATATTCTCTTGAACTGATGGTTTCAGCTCAAAGGGAACATTATCAGAAACACTTAGAATTATCTTTCCATTTATACCGGAGTCTTTGTCACTGATGCTAATCAATGAAATTACAGTCCCAGGTTTAGAATCCTCGGAAACTATATTGGAAAGAGACGTGAGGTCTATTTCAGGAGCGTTATCATTTATATCTGCTACTTTAATAATAACGACGGATTCTGCTGCTAAGGGTGGTTGGCCTTTATCAGATGCTTGTACGTCTAACTTGTACAATTCTGTTTCCTCAAAGTCCAGCACACCTTTAATCTGAATTTCTCCTGTTGCACTATCGAGTATAAACAGATTTTGCACTTTACGCTTCAGGTTTCTTCCAAAGGCGTATTCTACAACACCATTTAAACCTTCGTCCAAGTCAGTTGCATTAAGTTTTACCAAAACCGTACCGATAGCAGCATTTTCTTTTACCATTACAGAATAGGAGTCTTGACTGAACACAGGACGGTTATCATTAACATCAAGGACAGTAACAATTATGTTAAGATTTCCTGACCGTGGTGGATTTCCACCATCGATTGCAGTTAGTATCAATTTATGTTCTGCGGCGTTTTCACGGTCAAGTGCTTTCTTTAAAACTAAAAGCGGTATTTTTTCGTCATGTCTGTCCTTAGTCTCAACTTCGAAATACTCATTATGACTCAGTTTATACGACCGGACATTATTCACAGTCGTATCAGCATCTCGTGCTGCCTGTATTTGGAAACGCGTCCCTGTGGGTGTGTGTTCCGCAATCTCAAAATGCTCCTCCTCTTCTGTGAATGTGGGTGAATTATCATTAACATCAGTTACCTCCACTCCAACATAATGAATTTCCAAGGGATCTTCGACCACCATTTTCAGATTAATCAAGCATGCGCCATTTCCATCACACAGCTCCTCTCTGTCAATTTTCTTATGAACATATAAGACGCCATTGTTTTGATTTACCTCAAAAAGAGCGTCCTTTGATCCAGACACAATACGGAATCTCCTGTTTACTAAAGTGCTGACATCAAGGCCAAGATCCTTAGCAATATGTCCTACAACGGATCCTTCTTTCAATTCTTCTGGAATAGAATATCTTATCTGCGCTGAAACGTGCTGTCCAAAACACAGAAGCAAGGAGAAACACAAAGCAATCCACCAATACGCCCATTTGCGCCTTTGTCCTTCGGCTTCCATGACAGAACAATTACTGTGAGACTGCCAGAAATATATCCTCGGCGATTACAAACAACAATGTACAATTTATCTGCGTAATACAATACTATTTAACTGAAAACACACGGAGAACAGATCGCATACTTAAACGCCATTTCGGATCGTACCATCCAGGATAAGGCGGACAATACAAGCCTACGCGTAATCATCCTGGGCTGGACTTGAAACTTGAAATCAAAAATTAGAGCAACACTGACACCGAGTGGACCATTGAACCTTTCAAGTCACCTCCAGGGTTACCGTTTACAGTATCTTTCAATTTGCAGAAGCCTTAACATTTATTAAAATACGTTTTATGGTTCGAATTGGGGGGAAAAAAACGTTTTATTATTCGGCAAAAATATATTTGCACATTTCATGTTGCAACAGACAGCTCTTGTCTCAACGACGAATAACATAAAATAATATATATAATATAATATAATATAATATATATAATATATATAAGACATGCACACAGACTATGCAACACATAGAGTGTGATTTTGACACCAGGGCGTGTTTAAAAAACTATAAAATAGAATTTATTTTTTAAAACAAAAAAAATTAAAGTACCTAACAGTAAGCAACATCTTAAAGTCAAATTTGTGAAAAGCTGTGCAAACCGCCATACTAATTATTGACATATATATAAATACCAACATAAATACCAAATAAAATCCTCTAAAATACTTACGAAAGCCTAAGGAAATTTAAAATTATCCTTACCTCTCCGGAATCTGTCCTCCTGCGATCAGATACGACTAGAGTATTTCCATTACTGCCCGGGACTATAGTAGAGCCGATACTCATTCTGGGTCCAACTAACATGTACCGTTTGTCTCCAGATCTGTACTGGATGCTGTGACACAGAGTCCCGTCGTAATTTGTATCCTGTAAATACTTGGATGAATAGTCTGTCGATTTAGAGCACTGCATTACAATCAACACGATGATGCTGATGACAAAAAGCACTGAAACCGAGCCCAAAGTGATGATCAAATAAAATGTCGCGTTGTTTTCCTCCTCGTCTTTTACTGCGTTTTTCACATCCGAAGCTGCAAAAGGCTCTTTGGGCTCCACAGCTTTGACAATCACAGTCGCTGTTGCGGAGAGTGAAACGTTCCCATTGTCTTTGACCAGTATGAGCAGTTTATGCTGGGCCTCGTCTGTTTCTGTGAATGAGCGAAGGGTCCTTATCTGTCCTGTATAGCGGTCCAAACCAAAGAGACTGTGGTCACTAACTTCCTGCAGTGAAAATAATAACCAGCCGTTGTATCCTATATCTGCGTCATAGGCTCTGACTTTAGTCACCAAATGACCTGCGTTCACATTACGGGGAATCTCTTCCACACCCTCAGCAGAACCGTTAGCGCTGACTGGATATAAGATCACTGGAACGTTGTCGTTCTGATCCAGAATAAACACGTTCACTGTCACGTTACTGCTCAGAGATGGAGTTCCAGAATCTGAGGCAAAAACTTGGAAATGAAAAGTTTTGGTGGTTTCAAAATCAAAACTTTTCAGCGAATAAATAATCCCCGTTTCTGAATTGATGTTTAGAAAAGATGTCAAGTCACCTTGATTTAGGTTATATCCTATTGCAGCATTTCCGTTTAAGTCTCTGTCAAAGGCAGTAACAGAGAATATAGAAGCACCAGGGACATTGTTTTCAGATAAATAAAGCTCATATGAATTCTGGGGAAACTCTGGTGCGTTATCATTTACATCAGACACCTGTATATATAATATTTTAAAAGAAGACAAAGGTGGCTTTCCTAAGTCAGTGGCTGTTACAGTGATTTCATACCTTGACGTAACTTCTCTATCTAAACGCCCCTTTGTCACTAATGAATACATATTCTCTTTAAATGATGATTTCAGCTCAAATGGCATATTTTCAGGTAATGTACAAATTACTCTGCCATTGACACCCGAGTCCTTGTCTGAAACGCTGATTAAGGCTATGGCCGTTCCAGGCTTCACATTTTCAGATATAACGTTAGAAAGAGATGTTATCTCAATTTCAGGGGAGTTATCATTAACATCTGTGACTTTAATGCTAAGCTCTGCTTCGGCTATCAGAGGAGGCTGGCCTTTATCAGATGCCTGCACATCTAATTTAAAGACATCCGTTTCCTCAAAGTCTATTTTGCCTTTAACTTGTAATTCACCTGTGCTCTTGTCAAGCGTAAACAGGTCGTGTATTTTTCCTTCTAAATTTTTGCCTAATGAGAACTCGATTTCACCGTTCAGTCCATCATCTAAATCAGTTGCGTTTATTTTAATTACGACAGCGCCCGGAGCTGCATTTTCCAGGATTGTAGCAGTATATGAGTCGCGGCTGAAGACGGGCCGATTGTCATTTGTATCCAGAACAATAACAGTGATGTTAAGAGTCCCTGATTTTGGTGGGATTCCACCATCTATGGCTGTCAGAATGAGTCTATGTTTGCCTTGCCTTTCTCTGTCCAGCGCTTTCTTTAAAACTAAAAATGGTATTTTTGTGTCATGCCTTTCCCGAACGTCGATATCAAACAGCTCATTCTGACTTAGTTTATAGTGTCGAACCGTGTTCATTCCCAGATCAGGATCTCTGGCAGTTTGTACTTGAAAACGTGTTCCCAAAAGCGTATGCTCGGCTATTTCAAATTGCTGCTCAGATCTCGGGAAAATGGGTGGATTATCGTTTACATCTGTAATTTCAACTTCTATGTAATGCACCTCTAAGGGGTCTTCAAAAACGCATTTCAAACTTATCGAACAAACAGCGTTTCCATCGCACAGCTTCTCCCTGTCGATTCTCTTACTGACATACAGTTCCCCATTGTTCTGATTTACCTGGAAAAGCGCGTCGTCAGGTCCAGAAACAATACGAAACCGACGGTGTGCCAAATTACTGACATCAAGGCTTAAATCCTTTGCAATATTTCCAACAACAGATCCTTCTTTCACTTCCTCTGGGACATTGTATTTTACGTGTGCACTAACCAGATTCCCGACGCACAACAGCAAAGAAAGAGTAATCCACCGGCATGGCAGTATGCTCCATTGTCCTCCGACATCCATCGCAAATAAAGATAATTTAATAACTTCAGATTACAGATGCTCTTCTCATGAAACAGTCTTTTCCTTTTGTAATTTCTGATATCAGGTGCATGATCGAAAAAGGAAGTATGATGGAATCATCAGTCACCACTGCTTCAAACGCACGGCTACACTGCTCCGCTTCTCTGCACAAAACAGTGTTCTGTTTCTCATTAAATATGACGCCTGATGGGGTAGGGCTTGCAACAGAACAGTGCCCTAGAGTAACACTGACACCATGTGGAGTGGATTTGTTTTTGACAAAAACACCTACATCAAGAAAATATATTCTGTTGGACCACAGAGATAATATGTATTATCGCTGTATTGGTTCAATTTAACTCTGAAATCCAGCATGACGTGAGCAACAAAAAACAGCCCAAATTTTTTATTATAACAATGAACAGCCATGTTAAAACAAATGAAAGCATGAAAAGACAACAAAAGCTTAAAAAAAGAAGCAGCCAGCCGATAAAATAATATACATTTAGCTATAAATGATGAATCCAAATCAAAGACTGCAATTAGATTTAATAAACCATTCTTACCGCTCCAGAAACTCTCCTCCTGCGATCTGGTATCACTAGAGTATTTCCATTACTGCCCGGGACAATAGTAGAGCCGATACTCATTCTGGGTCCAACTAACATGTACCGTTTGTCTCCAGATCTGTACTGGATGCTGTGACACAGAGTCCCGTCGTAATTTGTATCCTGTAAATACTTGGACGAATAGTCTGTCGATTTAGAGCACTGCATTACAATCAAGAAGATGATGCTGATGACAAAAAGCACTGAAACCGAGCCCAAAGTGATGATCAAATGAAATGTCACGTTGTTTTCCTCTTCGTCTTTAACTGTGGTTTTCACATCAGAAGCTGCAAACGCCTCTTTGGGCTCCACAACTTTGACAATCACAGTCGCTGTTGCTGAGAGTGAAACGTTCCCATTGTCTTTGACCATTATGAGCAGTTTATGCTGGGTCTCGTCTGTTTCTGTGAATGAGCGAAGGGTTCTTATCTGTCCTGTATAGCGGTCCAAACCAAAGAGACTGTGGTCACTAACTTCCTGCAGTGAAAATAATAACCAGCCGTTGTATCCTATATCTGCGTCATAGGCTCTGACTTTAGTCACCAAATGACCTGCGTTCACATTACGGGGAATCTCTTCCACACCCTCAGCAGAACCGTTAGCGCTGACTGGATATAAGATCACTGGAACGTTGTCGTTCTGATCCAGAATAAACACGTTCACTGTCACGTTACTGCTCAGAGACGGAGTTCCAGAGTCTGTAGCGAGCACATGGAAGTGGGAAGTTTTTAATGTTTCAAAGTCAAAGCTTTTCAGCGAATAAACAACACCTGTCTCGGAATTTATATTCAAAAAAGATGACAAATCATTCTGTGTGCCATCACCTCTAATTATGTGATAGGATATGACGGCATTTTCAGCTGTGTCTCGATCAGAGGCGCTTACAGAAATTATGGACGAACCGGCTGCATTATTTTCCATTAAGTAGAGGTCTAAAGGGTTTATTAAAAATTCCGGAGCATTATCATTCACATCAGAAATCTGAACGCTTAGAGTGGTCGATGCAGTCAAAGACGGCTGTCCTAAATCAGAGGCAGTTACTGTAATGTCATACTGTGAATTCGTCTCTCTATCTAACCGAACTTTTGTTACTAAAGAGTACATATTGTCTTTGAAAGAAGGCTTTAGCTCAAAGGGAATATTTTTGTTTAACTGACAAATGACTTTACCATTGATCCCTGCGTCTTTATCAGTCATACTGACGAGAAAAATGACCGTTCCAGGCTTAGAATCTTCAGGGATGTTCTTATAAAGTGATGTAATCTCAATCTCTGGCTGGTTGTCATTCACATCAATAATCTTAATAACAACTCTACAGTTTGCAGACATTGGTAGATGTCCCTTATCTGAGGCTTGAATATCGAGTTTATAAACTTCTGTATCTTCAAAATCCACTTCCCCCTTTACACGTATTTCACCGGTGACCTGATCGAGCTCAAAAACCTCATGCACTTTGCTATTTAATGTTGCAAAACTGTATTCGATATCGCTATTCGGGCCCTCATCCATATCAGTTGCATTCACTCGGATAACCACAGTGCCAGTAATACAATTCTCCTGTAATGTCACAGAGTATGACTCTCGACTAAACACAGGGTGATTATCGTTTATATCTAGAACAGTAATAGTAATGTTAAGCGTGCCAGATCTCGGAGGATTCCCTCCGTCAACTGCTGTTAAAATCAGCTTGTATGTAGTTGTAATCTCCCTATCAACAGCCTTCTTCAGTACTAAAAATGGCATTTTATCCTCATCACTCTCTCTCCAAAGAGACTGTGGTCACTAACTTCCTGCAGTGAAAATAATAACCAGCCGTTGTATCCTATATCTGCGTCATAGGCTCTGACTTTAGTCACCAAATGACCTGCGTTCACATTACGGGGAATCTCTTCCACACCCTCAGCAGAACCGTTAGCGCTGACTGGATATAAGATCACTGGAACGTTGTCGTTCTGATCCAGAATAAACACGTTCACTGTCACGTTACTGCTCAGAGATGGAGTTCCAGAGTCTGTAGCCAGTACATGGAACTGGAACGTTTTTACAGTTTCAAAGTCAAAGCTTTTAAGCGCATTTATATGTCCGTTGTCTGAATTTACATTAAGGAAAGACGACATATGACTTTTTGCTCCGTCTTCCCTAATTATTTGATAGGTTATTGCAGCATTTTCATTCAGGTCTTTGTCGAAGGCGCTAACAGAGTATATGAAGGCTCCTGGTGGGTTATTTTCCATCAAGTAAAGTTCTAACGGATTGTGAAGGAATTCTGGAGCGTTATCGTTCACGTCTGATATCTGCACTTTCAATGTTTTGACTGAGGAAAGAGGGGGCTGACCAATATCTGTGGCTGTTATTGTGACATCATATTGTGACACTACTTCTCTATCTAACTTAGCATTCGTCACAAGAGAGTACATATTTTCTTTAAATGACGTCTTCAGTTCAAAAGGCACATTGTCAGATATTCTACAAACAACTTTGCCATTAACGCCCGAATCTTTATCAGTAATACTAACAAGTGAAATGACTGTTCCTGGTTTTGAATCTTCGGGAACTACATCAGACAGTGAGGTAACTTCTATCTCTGGTCCATTATCATTTTCGTCAGTCACTTTAATGATAATTCGACAGTTGCTTGTCTTCGGTGGTTGGCCTTTATCTGACGCCATAACACCGACTCTATAAACATTATTTTTCTCAAAATCCAAATCACCTTTTACCCTAATCTCACCTGTTTTGTCCAAATCAAAGGTGTCGTAAACATGTTTTTCGATATTTTTCACGAATGCATAAACTATTTCTCCATTCTGACCTTCATCTAAATCAGTGGCGTTCAATTTAATGACAAGAGTACCAACAGGAGCGTTTTCTTGCAATGTGACAGAATAAAACTCTTGGCTGAATTTTGGCCTGTTATCATTATCATCCAGCACCGTGACATTAATAATGATACTCCCTGATCTTGGTGGATTCCCACCATCAACAGCAGTCAGTATTAGACTGTGAGTGACCTGATGCTCCCTGTCAAGCAATTTACGTAATTTCAAGACGGGGACCTTTTTCTCTCCCCCATTTTCGCGAAGCTCAAGTTCAAAATACTCGGTTTGGCTCAGTTTATAAAAACGAACAGAATTTATGCCTGAATCAGGGTCCTTTGCTTCCTGCAATTGAAAGTCCTCACCCGGTAGGGTTGATTCTGCGATTTCTAACAGGACGTCTTTATAAGCAAAATTGGGTGCATGGTCATTTACATCGGTAACTTCTATTTCTACATAATGAATTTCAAGAGGATTTTCAACAACAGTTTTCAGACTTATCAAGCAAGCAACATTTTCAACGCACAGCGCCTCTCTGTCGATATGCTTTTCCACATACAAGATGCCATTGTTCTGATTTACCTGAAAAAGGCCCTCATTTGATCCAGAAACAATACGAAAACGTCTGTCCACCAATGCACTGACATCAAGACCCAAATCCTTTGCAATATTTCCCACAATATATCCTTCTTTTACCTCCTCTGGAATAGTGTATCTTATCTGCGCTGAAACCCGCTGTCCGAAGCACGGTAGCAAGTAGAAACACAGAGAAATCCAGCAGTTCTCACATCTGCGCCTTTGTTTCCCAGCATCCATGCTGAAAACCGTCGTCTGAAGAACAAGTATAAACTGATTCTCCTCACAGTTACCGCATGAATTTTTTCAAATGATTCGGGGTCGAATATTAAGACATATTTTGCTCGAAAATCACGGAACTAACTCTTGTATGTATATGCTCCGACTGAAAAAGCAGTCAGTGCGCTCTAGCTTGGGTTAGTGTGATGCAAACTAGATCCCTGCCCCCCCCCAAAAAAAAACGTTTTCTTGTGTAATACTGACATCATGAGGTCCACTACTGCATGTCAAGACTTTAAATATAATTCTATGCACTTAAACTATAATATATTTGATCTTTGTATGATGCATACGGAGAGCAAATATTCGATCCATATACAGATATGGCTTTTTAAATAAACATCAATATATAGCACATAGGCTAAGCCTGTTTGACATTTAGCTACAAAATATATAGCCTGATAAACATAAACCGCAAAACCTTGCAATCCAAAATGTCACAGCAAATTTAAGTACCACTGACATATTTCCGCGCGAGAAGTAGCAAGCAAGTCGTATCATTACTAATTCAAAATAAAAATACAGTTTATTTAATTTTGTATACGTCTCCATACTGCTATGAACTCATGAACTAATAAATTTTGTCACCTATAAGAAAAACTTTTGATACGTTTTTCCAAAAAATTTAAAATGGTGACACAAAATAAATTAGTTCACGAAATACACAGTCGTGAGCCGAACAAAAATCCTATATTTTTGTATAAGAACAAATTAGGCAAATTATGATAATACCATATAATGTGATGCAATTTTTTCCCTATAAGAGCGAATCCATGCCATTTGT